TGCCCCCCCTGAATCTTGACCCAGAGCACTTCAGCTTTATGCAGGGGGCCAGTTCATTTTTATCATGGTGTTAATAATCACATTGTGGTTTATGGGAGACCCTGCTGCCTCTGGCCTGCAGGAGGACAAAGGCAGCATTTATTCTCCAATTAATTTTTTTTCAGGGCTAAATTAGGTGGCACCTTGAAATAAGGCAGTGTGTGGCTGCTGTGGAAGGAGAAGGGGTGTTAGGCACTGCACATACATAGTGGTTTTCATAATGGTTAGAGTGAGGCATTAGGTGTAAAGACCCAAGGGCATTGTTCCGGATGCTGCTTCATGGCCAATGCATGAGATTAAAGATTTATTTTAAAAGTCACTTATCCTTGCTATGCCATGCCCCCGTTCCCCTATTCAGAGAACAAGAATAATAATTGACACCTATAACAAGCGGTACTGTACAGCATAATTCATTGGCTTTTGCCAGCTGGTTTGAAAACACATTGAAAACGATCAGTATTATTTATTCTGTACCAAGCAGATACTGTAATGTGTCCTCCCATTTAGTAAAACTAGAATCATGGACCCAACAAAAGAGCCCTCCCACTCCATAGTGTTAAAACCAATTAGTTTCATGTTTTGTAATAGTTAAACTAAACTAAATGGATTCTATTAGAGCAGAATCTGTCCATCCCATGGGCTCTTTACTATTGGCTTTGCTGTGTGTTAGTGAAGGCTCATCATATAGATTGCACCCAGGGCACGGGGAGATTGCTGTCTGAATGGGTAAAGAAAAGTCACTGTGCCACCGGCACCCCCCAAGAATGCCATTTGTGGTATGAAGTGGCTGCTGCTATTGAGGATATTAGTTAATATGGAGCTAGGTGGTCAGTGGAAACAGTCTGAAAGTGGGCAGAGGGGCCTCCAGGGTAATACGATTTAGACAGGGATGTTCCTGCCTTGAGCAGGGGTTTGGACTTGATGACTTCCCAAGGTCCCTTTCACCCCTATTTTTCTATATGAAGCCCAGCGACCCATAAAATCTTCTCATTGTCTTGCTTTTCTTGTGCCAAATGCCATGATCCATGGGGTCAGTGCTGCCAGAAACTATGGGTTTCTAGGGGTTGCCTCTCAATCTTTCATTGATTTCTGTTCACATCCCTAGTACTGTTTTCTGCCTTACAGTGCCACACTCTAGGGCATCCCACCAGAGCCGCAGTACCTGTTTCACAGACCATAACCTGCCCCTGCCTCTTAGCACTGGTGTTTACCCCATCACACTTGCACCTTGATGATTCTCCCTGAGGCCTGCAGCTACCCTGTGAGGGAGAAGGACTGTGCTTCTCTGAGGAACATTAGTCAAGGGCCAAATCCTGATGCTTGCTGCACTTGTGTAACCCCACCCCACTTTGTCCTTTGGTCTTGAGTGACCAATTTGCGTGATGTCGCAGGATTCTTGTGGCCCATGAACAAGTTGGCCAAAGCCTCAAGGGGAGGAGAGGAGAGGAGGTTAGAGGGGAAATTAGGGAAATGCCCAGCCAAAGGGGATGCTGGATGCACAAGGCAAGTGAGGAGCCTGGATGTGGCTAGTGCCCTTCACAGCTCCCATTCCATGGTTCAGTTACTGGGCCACTGGACTCCTTTTTCTGTGATCCATTGTTACATTTCCTAGTGGTTTAGAACAGAATGCTTTTGTAGAACGTTAGCGTTTAATGTAGGATATTCCCTCCGTTTGAAAATGAACTAACAAGCAAACAAACAAAAAAGACAATCGACTTTAGTGATCATGTGAAAGTGACTTTTTTTTGTAAAAAAACAAAAAACAAAAAATTATGTACAACCGAGGGGCTACAATCAGCAAATGATACTCATAGTACAAGGGAACGGCACGTTCCAAGCTCTACTTCAAACAGCAGACCGCTGTAACGAACACGGGACCTGGGAGGTGCGACAGCCCTGCTGCTCCAGCTGCCTACGGGAAAGTTAACGAGTGGCCCAGTCCTTGCTCTTAGATATCTGGCCTGAGAATTCAGTGGCTTCCTCCCTGCCCATCTGCCCACTTTAGGACTCGGCACTCAGCATACACATTAGCTCAACCAGGCTGCTTTCAGAGGCATAGAGTTGGATGGGTTAGACTCTGTGCAATCTACAATAAAGGCCCTGCAGTCCCAGGAGAGCTACGACCTTAAGTTTTAGAATGGAATTTACAACCTCTGACCACCTGCTAAAAATAGTTGTTTAGAGCAAGAGTCAAGGTACTGCAAGCAGGTCTTGAGTATGCCTCATTACGGTGTATCCTAAAGCCACATGCCTTTGCTCAGAATGGGGGACTAGC